GTAAGTTTTTCGAGTTTTCAATAAATGTTTGAGTTTTAGGTTAAATGAGTATAAATCAATGCTTAGGGTTAGAAATGAGTAGAAATCATTGTTAGACGATGGCAATGATCTAGAAGGGGGTTGAATAGATCACTAAATTTTAACAAAAGTTGGCGTTTAAAAATTGTTTCAAAAAATGCGGAAGCGGCCTTGAATTTTTTTAACCGTCTAAACGAACCATTATTGGTAAGATCGAATATGCGTAGCCAATATGGAATGAAATTGACGAGATAAACGAATCAACAATTTTCACAATCAATTATTCAAATTAATACCACATTGAATCCACCAATTTCTAATGAAATATTAAAGTAAAATTAAATCGACAAATTCACGAACAATTTGTGTGCGATCAATATGTCTGGCCCTAATTCTAAAAACTAGAATTGAGATATGTATAATATCAAGTTGCAAATTTTTGTACAAGAGATGTTATAGCCACCACACACTCAAGCCTAAGTGTTGATGTTGATTATATTCACTTCTCTCCCCTTGGTTCTAGCCGAATCAAGAACATCAAACTCTTCGATTAAACTTCCGGTTATCACTACTCACTTGAATCTTTAAGTCTTTCACTCGGTTTATTCTAATCACAAGACGTTTGAACCCAAATATTTCGACACAATCCTCTGGTTACCGTTACTTGCTTGACCGAACCCACCATTTCTCAAGCCTTTCACTCGACTGAATCTATGACGCAAAGATTTGTGCAAAAACCCCCAAACCCTCAAGATCTTGGAGGACAAAAACCCAAAGTTTTTATTCAAGAAAACCCACCGAATTCTCAACCCAAACAATGATATATAAATCTTAAGTTTAGACATTATCACCTAGACAATGCAAAGATCAACAAAAATGAATATGTGTAGTTGTTGAAGAATGCATGTGTGAGAGTGAAGATGATGAACAAATTCAATGTATAGTTTCACTTTTCTTGTTGGTTCACATACAAAAGACAATTCATATGAATATATATGAGACTAAGAGCACATAACTGAATTAACAACTTTTTGAAACACAAAGAATAAGAAAAATGTGTTTAAGTTTGCAAGAGGTCTACCTCAACACTTTATGAGTCAACCTGAACACTCCAGAATGCAAATCTGCATAAAAATTCAAGCCACACGTCGACCTAAACTAAGCCATGCGTCAACACAAGGGCACCTGAGAGTAGAGAATTATTGTTCTTTTAGTATGTGTCGACCTCCGCACATTTGTGGGTCGATGCAAGGACACCCGAGAGCAAAAATTTATTTATCCAACAGTGTGCGTCGACCTCCACACATCTGTGCGTCGAGACAAAGACACCAAAATGCTACAAACACATTTTTATAAGTTTTGAATCGTTCTAAACCCCTGTAGGGTTGACCTAAGGTATCCAATGTATAATTTTTATATATGGGATGGTCCTATATGCATAGAAACATGTTTGTGGAATATTATATATATATATATATATATATATATATATATATATATATATATATATATATATATATATATATATATATATATATATATATATATATATATATATATATATATATATATATATATATATATATATATATATATATATATATATATATATATATATATTAAAGGATGAATGCAATCTAAGACGCGATGATACCGTCGAAAGTACACAAACACACGATATTACTAGTTTTTGTATCATTAAAACAAAGCACTGAGGAACCTTGCCCTCACAATCACATGTAACATAGTTTACACATAATGTATAAGTTGTTTGTTGGTTGACAATGATGATCTGAACAAACTTTTTCACCTTGCATATGGTACATTCGCCATTGACGCAACTTCTGAGTTGCAGAAAATTTCGGAGATGCATCTCCGGAATTGTTCAGTGTTTCTTATTCTACAAGAAACTTCAGAGATGCATCTCCTGAATTTTTAAAAATTTTAGTTTCCTGATGATTATAAAGACGCATATCCGGAATTTCCTACAGTATTTTTGAGATTTTCTTTTTCGTGTGATATTTGTGTACAGTAATGGTATGCCTTACTTTAACTTACATGCATAATGGCTGAGATACATGACTAACTAAGGCATGACAGGGTTGCTCAACACGCATCCGTTCGATGGGAGCAAAGCTAGCAGGTTCCGGAGGCTTTAGGTTCTTCTGGTCACACAGAACCGTCTACTTCTGGGGCTCATGCTTCTCTTCAGGCCACTTTATCATCTTCTTCCCGTAGGAGACGAAAGGCACCATATGATGCATCACTTCCCCTATCCTCCCACAGGCGTTAGGATTCACCAGTTCCACCTCTTACGGATGATGCTGCTGATCCATTCCTACCTCATACTAATGATGTTGATCCAGTGCCACCTTTGAAGGGTGAGGTTGTTGTGGATGTCGAGCCTGGGGATTTTTAAGGAGGTATAGTTGATTGATCCTTACTGCCTATGTATTCAGACCATACTACCAAACATATTTGAGACGGAGATGTAACATTAGTTGGATTCTTGATTTATTTTTTACGTTAATTTTAATTTCTGACATTGGCTATTTCTGACAAATTTCAGGAGCGTGATCACTAGAAGTTTCTTAACCATAAGAGGAAGTTTGCCGGGTTGCTTAGCCGAATGAGGATTGGTTTCAGTCAGTTTTGTCCTTATCCGGTTTGAAGGACTTGTGCATGACCGATTACAATATGGTTAACCACATGATGCTTAATGCATTCGTGGAGACATGACACTCAGACACCCATTCGTTTCATCTCCCGCATGGTGAGATGTCTATCACACTAGACGATTTCTCTTGTTTGCTACATCTTTCGATCAGGGGGAAATTCCTAGATCATGGGAAGATTACCAAACAAGAGGCACTCGAGATGATGTTAGAGCATGTTAAGGCTGATATAGGGAAGATGATGAAGGAGTTGAATAAGACCAGGGGTCCTCATGATAAATTTGAGTTCCTGAAAAAGTTATATGAGGCTGAGATCCCGAGCGCACTAGCGGATGATGGTGATGCTGAGCAGGTGGCGCTCCATAGATCGCATGTATTAAGATCATACCTGTTTTATTTGGTTAACCTTGTGATTTTTGTGAACAAAAGTGCCACTTATATAGACGTCGTCTACCTACGATACTTCGTGGATTTCAAGCAAATTCATGAGTACAACTAGACGGTGACTTGTTTGATTTACCTGTATTCAAAGCTGAAAAAGGGTTGTATGTGAAAGACAAAGTAGGTCACATGCAACATGACACTACTGACGATAATAATTACTTGTCTTTAAATGTTTTTTTTAATAATTTTTATTTCATATTTTAAAAACCATTACCGATGATTCGTGTGTTCCAAACTTTTTATTTCAGGCTTGGATCCTCTAGCACTTATCTCGCCTCTATGGCTGGACTAGTATGCATGAGTACACCGAGGATATCCCGTGTGCTGCTGCTTTTATCCCGCTCAGAGGAAACCAGACAATCGAGCCTTTCAGATTCTATCTTGACCGTTTGGTTGCCGATGACATGCACTTCAACGGGGTAAAACAGATATAGAAGAGGTTGTCGGATACACACAGTAATAATCTCTTACTATTTTGTTGTAGTACTATGACCTGTACTTTATATTAACGGTCTTACTACATTATTGATCTTGACTGTACGATATTTTTGACATATTTATTGCTAATTTATTTTTTATGACATTTTGGTCCATCTGAAATTATGTACGCCTACTTTTTATTTTATTTTCGATCTTACATTATACTTCTTCTAAACACAAATAAACAACATATAACATGAAATGTTTGTTCTGATACTTTTCGGAGATGTATCTCCAGAATATTCACGGAGATACATCTCTGATACAATTCAAACGTAAATGACGTTAGAATGGAATGTATTGAATATTTTAAATTGTTTCGAATATACCTTTTTAAAATATTTCAACGTATATTTAAAAATGAGTGCGTCCGAAGATACATCTCAAAAACCTAAAAACATTTAACTAATTTTGCAAAGTACCTCAGAAGTAGGGCTGGAAATGAGTCGAGTCAAGTCGAACTCACCTCAGCTCGGCTCGACTCGTTAAGAATTGATTTGAGTTCGAGTTCGACACAAACTTTTTTTTAAACTCAAACTCGACTCGTTATAAGTTCACGAACAGTTCGGTTCAACTTGTTAGGTTCATCTCATTAGGTTCATCTCACATGATTCACAGACTTAAAAACTATTTTTTTAAAATATATATATATATATATATATATATATATATATATATATATATATATATATATATATATATTTTTAGTATATTTGATATTTTAAATAAATATATATATTTTTAAAATAAAATATTAAAATAAAATAAAAGTTATCATATTGAAATTTAACTTTATCTTCGAAATCTACTAATTCAAAACCTACACAACTTTCAAGAGATACATTTGAGAGTCTAATTCAAAAACTAATAAATTGAAGATTAAATTTGTCTAAGATTTGGAGTAAATATTTAAACCTAATCTTAAATACAGAATAATTCTTCTCATATGTAATCGAGTTGATTCATGAACCTAACGAGTTGAACTATGTATAGTTCAAGTTCAGCTCATTTAGTTAACGAATTTAATTTTTCGCTCATACTCAACTCATTTAGTTCATGAACCTAGTTCAACGATTTAATTGTCAAATCAAATTCCAAATTATTTTTGAATTAGTTCGATTAATTGTCAGCCCTACTCAAAAGTAATTAAGATGCTTTAAGAAGTCGACGTTACTTTTCTAAATCTGAAATGAAAGTGGGCCTGAACCCATTAAGAAAAGTGACTGCAAAATCAATCAAACCCACGAAATTCCTATGTAGAACCCCTAATTTTAACCTCTCTTCAAATTCTCACTACTTCCCCGTTCTTCTCATTTCCCAGCACTCTTTCTATCTCTCCCATTCACCATTTCAGACCAACTCTCCGATTAGGGCATCGTCGATATGCCCCTCTTCATCACCGACGAAGACTTCTCGCGGCTATCCGGCGACACAACCGCCGTAGCCGCAAAAGCTGACACCTTCATCCGCGGTCTCCTCAACGAACTCGACACCGTCCGTGCTAAAGCTGATGCCTCAGACATCAACGCCGAACAGAATTGCTCTCTCGTTGAGCAGAAATATCTCTCCCTCTCTGCCGAGTTCTCCAAGCTCGAATCCAATGCTTCTAACCTCCAATCTTCCCTTGATCAAAAACTCCGTGACCTCTCTGATGCCCAAGCGCAGAATCACCAAATTCACTTGCAATTGGTGCGTTTTGAAAGCGTTTCGGAATTGAATTGAAACAATTTATCTTGTTGCTAGTTATTACTATTGAGGAAGCATTGCACTTGGAAATTGTTGTTAATCTTGTCATGATTGTAGTTATCACTGTGCTGTTTTGACTAGTTTTGAGTTTTTCGAGCTTCTATATTAAAATGAAGTTTTGATTTTTCATTTATGGTAATGTTCTAGGAGCTTAGATGTCTTATAATGTCAACTTATATTTGTTTTATAAAATATCATAAGTGCATTAGGACAAGTTTGTTCAAATTGATCAAAGGTTTAGAATCTTTGCAATCGGCCGCATTCATGTGTAGAGTTGTGTTGCTAGGTGTTTCCATTTTGATGTGATTGGTTATGGTTTTCTAGGTTGAGAAGGATAGAGAGATAGAGCGGTTAAAGACGGAGGTGAGTGAGCTGCACAAGTCAAAGAGGCAGTTGATTGAGTTGAACGAACAGAAGGATTTGGAGCTTAGTGAGAAGAACACTACCATCAGGAGCTATCTTGATAAGATTGTGAGTTTCTCTGCTTTTTGGTGTTATAGTTGGTTTTGTTTTTTTTTGCTGATGAATGCTTTTGTATTGATGCTTGTGTTTCAATGGTGTTGTTGAAGGTCCATTCAACAGAAAATGCTGCCCAAAAGGAAGCACGCCTTAGTGAAGTTGAGGCAGAAATGGGAAGATGCCGGGCTGCTTGCACCCGCCTTGAGCAGGTTCATTATAATTTTTCTTTGATTCACCATTAGTTTTACTGCCTGAGAGGCATATAAGTGCTACTTAGTTCCTTTGCTTGACTGTTTTTTTTCATCTTGTAAATGACTAATTTCTAAATGGATTACAGCAATGCAATTAATAATGAACATTTTAAACGAGCTGGTCTGCTGTGTTGTTAACTACTGCTTGTGTTATGTACCGTGCATTTACTCCTTTCGTCTTGAGTGGACACAAAACACTTACATTTTTTCATCTCACTACAAAAATTTAATGCATGTAAGCAGGAAAAGGAGATTGTTGAACGGCAGAATGCCTGGCTTAATGAGGAGCTGACTACTAAAACTAGCAGTTTCTTAGAGCTGCGCAGAAAACATACAGAATCAGAATCTGATACATCTTCTAAACTTGCAGATGTGAGTTTAATATTATATTTTAAAACTACTATGTACTATGTACTGTATACTTTTAATTTGTTTTTATTTTTTTGTTTGATCGTAACTTGATCTTTTGTCATTACTCTCAGGTTGAAAGACAGTTGAGTGAATGCTCTAAATCTCTGCAATGGAATAAGGATCGAGTAAGGGAGCTTGAAATGAAACTTAAATCTATGCAAGAGGTTAACATCATTCCATTCTTTTTATCTTGCAATGTGATGTATGATTCTTTTCATCCAAAACCTTGTCTGATTGAGCTTTTATACACTTGTAGGAATTAATATCAGCTAAAGATACTGCTGCAGCCAACGAAGAGCAATTATCTGCTGAACTTTCAACTGTGAGTGCTATGGCATACATGAACCCCTTCTCAATATATAACCCCAATTTTTCCCTTTCAAATACTGCTATAATATGCTCAGGCATTTCGATATAGCGCACAGGTGTCTTACATAAGAAAAGAATCTTCGTAAATTTAAATACTTATATTCAATTCTTGAACTTGACAACAACGTGACGCATGATAGATTCATAGCACATGGCTAAAGGTCATTTTTTCTTAATTATATCTTAAATTTAATCCACACAGTCATATTTTGCATTCATAATTTCGCAGTAATTTTGACGTCATTTTCATAATTTCTATTAATGTTTCTTTTGCCATAGCTGCTTAGCGGCCTGTTCTATCATTAACTACATTGCATACAAAATAAAGTAAGCAATAAAGCAAATGCTGGTTTCCTTCCCTATATTTTGCCCTGTCAATGAATTATAAACTTCAGTCTGCCAGTCACAATCTCATAATGAAAAAATCATTTATTCATCATGTGTCAGGAATATGGCGAGTTGTGGTATCACATATAGTTTGTCCATGTTGAAGGGTAAAATTGAATATATTATATGGAGAAAATGCTTGATGTATAATGATCTTTTTTACATTATAGAATCTGAAATTTCAGCTTCATAGTACTCTTAGCACAATGTAAATACCATTGAGTAAATGGTTTGTAGTCATACACAGTCATTCATTTTTCATGGTCACTGTTTTTGTGCCAGCAACGATTCTAAGAATGTCAAACATCCTATGCTATTCTTTTTGATAATACAATAAAATGACAAAAGAGAGGTGTAGTACAATAATGATGAGGATGGATGGGAGATCCTTTAAAACAAGTAAATCTTATGTTTTGGCATTTGCCAGAAATGAGCTTGGGCAGCTGATGTGTGCACTGCCCATTTGGACCCAAATTATCATTTAACAACTCTGATGTATATTATTCAGGATAATGAGCATAAATTTTAGTGCTGTATTTATTTCTTATTATTTGAATTAAATATTTGCATGTACAATGCTAATAGGTCAATAAGCTTAACGAGCTTTACAAAGAGAGTTCCGAGGAATGGTCCAGAAAAGCAGCGGACCTAGAGGGTGCTATAAAAGCGATGGAGGTGAAGATTGTTTTCTATTACACTCTTTTCTAGTGCCTGGAATTTATCTAATATTAGAGGTCGAGTTCTTGAATACTTTTTGATGATACATGTGTTTAAGCAGTCACACCTAAAGCAAGTTGAAGATGATTATAAAGACAGACTCGAGAAGGAATTTTCTGTTAGAAAGCAGTTTGAAAAGGTATTTTATTTTTTTGTATTGATCAGGCTGTTATTTGAACAGAATAGTAACTAACTTGAATTTTTCTGTTGGCTGTTAATTTTTGAAGTATATTATTATATGCCATGCTTGAAGATGATTAATGCTTCAACGGCATGGGGTTGCTGTTTCATTTTATTTGTGGGTACTGGGTAGATATTGGCTCAAAATTTATCACGCATGTGAAATGCACATATGATCTCATTTTATGTCTATTTCTTTGCTTGTAGGAAGCTGCTGATTTGAAAGAAAAGCTTGAGAAGTGTGAAGCTGAAATTGAGACAGGCAAGAAGATGAATGAACTAAGCATTCTTCCACTAAGAACCTTCTCCACTGAACCGTATGTCTCTGTTGATCCTTTTTTTTTTTTTCTGTTTTGAGGCCCTTGATTATGCTCATTTTCCCATCTTATTCTTGTGTGTGCTGCTTTTCGCTGAAGTAGCTGGAAATGGCAAGCCTTGGGGGGCATCGGAAATAGTTAGAATTTCATTCTCATTTGTTTGTTGAGAAACAAGGACTGAAGCATGCAAAAATCTGCCACTTTTTCTATGAAAATTGAAGTAACTCTTAGTATATTCAACTAACCTGGCAATGGTCATTTTCAATCATTTGCTTATAGTGTTGGAATACAATAGGAATTATAATATATTTAGAAATAAGGTAGTTCAGAGGTCAAAGCTCCAATTTTAGCAGAAAATGTGCAGGGAAATACAAAAAAAAGGAACCAAACCTTCTCTGTTCATCGACAACAAACATGCTCAAAACAACCTTGAATGATTGCCTGCTTCTCCACTTCATCTTCCCTTTTTATTTGCATCATTGTTATTGATTGCCCGATCCATCACTATTCATATCTGATGAGTACCCCAGGCCTGTCGCTGTCATTGTTATCGATATGAGAGGACCTGTTTGATTGTTGATATTTAATCTTGTTTAAATTACAATTTTAATCTAATTATGGACTCTTAGACACATAATCAATACAAATAGGGTATTTTAAAGTAAAAACTGAGTAACGTATGCAAAAAAAACACGAGCTGGTATATCATATATGAACTTCAAAAAAATTTGAGATTCAAGTTGTAAATCTAAGTGTCAAAAAAGAAGTTGCTGGCCACAGTTTAAGTGATAAATGTGATTCATACGATTAATAAGAATGTATCAAGATTCATGTCCAAAAAAGATATGCATGAATCTTCGTATCTCGATTTGGTTCGAAGCATTCTAATAATCTTTTGTGACTGATACAATAAGGTTTTGTATTTCTTGGAAATTGAAAGCAGGAATATACAGAGAGTTATGTGGAACAACACAATATGTTGGACAGTCCTTCCATGTTCGATTTTATCACTTTGAAATTAGATACTGGTCGGTCTTCACAAATGCTAGTGGCTTTGACTTAAGCATTTATTTGCAATGGTAATGTGATGAGGTGTTTGTGAAAAGGAAAAATTAGAAATAGAGTGGTTCATCTGCACTGTGATCAGTATAATGGGAATCTAAAACCCTGCTTTCAAACGACGATGAACTATGAATAAGTGCTGTAGGCAGTATAATTACTTTGTGGGCTACATTTAATTAAAATGTTACGGTATTATCTTAAAAAATATAAAGATTGGCAACATCGTAGTTAGATGCTGCTGTAATTTTTATTTTTTATTGGCTGAGGATGAGTTACGCTATTGGATCTGTCTAGAAAACAATGCGAGCAATAACACTTGTCCTTATTATGTCTATGGGTTACTAGACCACACCCATGGCTGCAATGCAACCACCTCATTCTTGTCAGTCAAGTTAAAAAGTACTTATATAGTCCACTTAGGGTTTTTGTGGGCTAGTGGCTGAGGTGATCTATGAAAGAGCCTACAACAACAAATTAGCGAGATCCCCCACTTTCAAAACATTAGGATTTGGTTTCTAATAGAAATAGAATCAGTCCTTGCAAAGACAGTGATGCACGAAAAGTCTAAGACCATATACTGGTTGCCATGTTTATCTAGGGGGGTGTTTGTTTTAGGTTTAGGAATAACGTTCTCGGTAATATATGGGCTGTGAATGAATGTTCCTATGTTGTAAATTGGAAAATGTGTTCAGGTATAAAGGATCGCATGGAAAAAGCAACTTCTCATCTTTTGGGTTTCACATCCTTCTCATATAAAATCTGCTTAGATACCACCATTTTGTGGCGGTCTGAGGAAAACCCGTCACATCTCAACCATGGTGTCACCATAGTCTTCATTTGACATCACTAATCCTCAGTGTAGTATGAATATTTCTATTTAAATGGGGTCTCTGAAAAACAAATTAACAAATATTATTGATAAAAGATAAAAGGGAAATATTACAACCAATAGTAATTTTAATGTTAACTTTTGAGCGGCTGTTTTACAATGCCTTTACCTAATAGCTTTGTTTTTACAAAAGATAATTTGATCAAGCTCTTTAATTGTAGCATTTAGCGAAAGAAAATTGGACTTTTCCTTTTTAAATCAAGTTTTGAAATTGAGTGTCTCAACAGTTTGTGTTCTTGATTGATAGAGATGCTTTACGAAGTAGTAGTGAAAGGTAACATTTTGGCATTTTGTGCAAGATCAATGTATGTAATTGAATCTCTCATCAATCTTTCGTATGTTGTTAGTTTCGAAAACATGCCTAATAATGCGGGCCTTTATTTTCTCCTAGGATCATATTTCTCAATACCTTCCTATTTTGTTACAGGTGGCTGACATCTGTTGTAGCTGATAATACGGATGAAGACAATAATGCGATAGTCCCAAAACTCCCTGTTGGAGTTTCTGGAACAGCATTAGCTGCATCACTTTTGCGAGATGGGTGGAGTGTGAGTTATTTGAAATTTACTTTCAATTCTTGACCTGTTATTTCATTTGATTTGCCGAAGTTTGCACACATAAATCTTTTTTTTACTGTATCCTTCTATTTGTCGAAGTTGGCAAAGATGTATGCAAAATACCAAGAGGCTGTTGATGCTTTGAGACACGAACAATTGGGAAGGAAGGAGTCAGAGGCAATTTTACAACGGGTATGACTGATGTGGTCATCTTTTTATATAACATTGACAGGAGGGAATTTGGAGCAAACATCATTTATTATGTATTTCTTCATGTCTATATGGTACTAGTTAGATATCATGAAGAAGCATTTTGATAAAATTTGATCTAAATTTAAAAAGGTTGAAATTTTATTGAATGAGCCCAAATTCCTAATTACTACTGGTGGATTCACAGAATTAGGATAGGTTGGTGTTTGAGTAAGAAAAAATAAACAATTCCATGAGATTTTAGTGACAAATACATCAAATTCCCTTTTCTTCTTATGGTCACGCCAAATACAACACAATGTATACTCTTCAAATATATTTCTCTCTTCAAACTACTCCAACTACCTAACTGTAGTTAGTTATTCTGTTTACAAGGACCTAATGCACTTCGATCCCTAGGTTCTTGCTTACCTCTTTTCACACAACTTTCTGATGGGAGGTATAGACTAATTAATTGTGTAAGTATGCAACATCCGTTAGAATGTGATTGGTTTCATTTCACCTTCAATTTGCGTAAAGACCCAAATGCAATATTATAGGGGCCTCCAGAAGACCCATGACACGATGTTTGATGCATATTCAAAATGAAATAGAAATTGACAATTGTCTAAAATAAGCCAGGCATTTGTTGTCAGTAATGTTCACTGCTATCTATGAGGTTTTCATTTTTGTGATTCACTATCATTATATCAAGTTTATTAATACAGTTTTAAACACATGTATATTTATTGAAAGATTCTGCAATCTTCTATGATTTTTTTCAGGTTCTGTACGAGTTGGAGGAGAAAGCAGAAGCCATAGAAGATGAGAGAGGTACAGTTTTTTGTTGAGTTGAGTGTGAGTCAGTAAATAGTTTGCTAAAGAAGAAGATATAATTAATTCCTGTCCACTTTTTTGTCCTTATTGTTGTGACCAGGTCCAATAAACAATCAAAAGTTAGAACTGGATTTAAATCTTGATTCTTTTTAATTATTTTTTAATTATATACCTCCCCTGGTCCTAATTATAAACAACCAAAAAGTTAGAACTGGGTTTAAATCTTGATTCTTTTTAATTACTTTTTAATTATATACCTCCCCCGGTCCTAATTATAAGAAAAATCCTTAAACATTAAAATACATGAAGTTATTTATTGTAGTAATTTTTGAATGTTTTAATCTCAATATACCCTTGCAGGAAATTGTGAGGCATTGCGTACTTCCACCAATATTAAAAAACACATTAAATGAGGCTAAAGATATCCCATTCACCATAAAATACATCTTAAAAGTTTGAACTTTTTCTTCTAACCCGAACCAAAAGAATCTCCAATTATTTTCTATTTGATAGAAAGTGAGATACATTTACTATAGCGTGAATTCAGACACCCAAATACTGTTGAGGAAATTATATGACTCATGAACTGATGTTTGACCTTTTTCCTTTAGGGGCACTTTTTGTTGTTTCATAATCACCGATTTTAAAGGATAATAAATGGGAATGATTGGGTGAGAGAAAGGTGGTGGAATGATAAGTAGGAGAGATGATAGAAATTTGAATTTTCAAAATTTAAATCTACACCATAAGTAAAGGAACTCCAAAGTTGAATATTAAAATTTGGTTGAACATTTTTGTCTATAACTCATAACAACACTTGTTTTTCAAATTTTAAATTTTGCTTGCACTTGTTGTCACTAAGCTATGCAAGTATTATCTTTGTCACGTTCAGAGCCATACCTTTTTTGCTAAAATAAATAATTGGCAATCATGCAGTGGAACATGAAAAAATGGCTGATGCATACTCTTTGATGAACCAAAAATTGCAACACTCCCTCAATGAAAATTCTTACTTGGAGAAAACCATCCTGGAACTAAAGGTTTGCATAAGAAAATACAGTTTTATCTACTATTTTTTGTTGCATTTAGATTTTCTTAGTGCGGATTTTACAGGCGGACCTCAAAAGGCATGAACGTGATTATAATCTTGCCCAGAAAGAAATTGACGACCTTCGAAAACAGGTAATCTGGAGAGGTCCTTTTCATTTTCTATCAGTTTACTATGTTTGTATATCCATTTCATCAAGCAGTTTGCTTAAGAGCTTAGTTTGGAATCTTCATTTTTGTTATCTTGTTGCTGTAATAATATGCATGTTAATGTAAATGCCTAGAGGAACTACCAAAGCCTATTCTACAAGGTGAGCTCGGTTACACAGGTCAATGCATATTACTAGTACAAACCAAAATTTCAGTTAGACCACTCAGTCTTTGTTTTTAGTTTCTCTTTCTCCAATCTAGTCCCATTTAATTGGATTATGTTCCATTTGTCTTCTTTTCTCACTTGTGTCAAATTGGTCTTCTTCTGTCATGATCAAATTATCTTATTTATGCAAATTCGGTGGTTGTTATTAGAAAGTAATGTATAGATTTTTCATTTCCATCATTACAGAATTTTCATTTCATGAAAAGTCAGTTACAAAGCTTAATAGTTTGTCTTTTATAGATCAAACATAATGACCTGCAGTAGCAGGTAAAGCCTATGCAAAACTGACAGTTGTCAGTTTTGATGATTGCATTATGCCTAGGCCTTTGCTAACCTAGCTTACATTCAATAGTTGTTGTTAATCCTGATGTTAAGTTTTTGTGCATTTGTGATAAAGTGCTAACTTTATCCCTGAATCCGGGGTGTGATTTTGGTGCAACTAAAGCTTTCTTTGGAAAGCAACAAATTTCAGCTTTAACTCAATGAAAATGTTGTTTTTCTAGTTCTTGTTTAGAAAGTTTTCTTCTAGTTTATTAAGTTATAACTTCTTGTGCCAAAGTTGTTGTCTCTGGATGACCACCGTCTAATTCTGTTTGCATCGTGGTGGACATTGCCATGATTTTAACTTCACAACCTCTGGTATGGGTCAGTTTATTGACAAGCTTTTTTATATTTAAATCTATTAATTGACAATTGAATTTTTACAGGTGACAGTACTTTTGAAGGAATGCCAAGACATACAAGTTCGTTGTGGGTCTTTTGGTAATAATATCAATGCGAATGCAACTAATATTGCCTCAAGAACAAGTTCAGACACTGATGCTGAAAATATCATACCAGAGAACCTTGTAAATTTTCTTGATTTATTTTTATCTTAGTTTTTGAATTTCTGCATTTCATTCTCGCAATTAATCATTTCAATTTGGGAATTGAGACACAGTTAACCTTCAAGGACATTAATGGACTAGTTGAGCAGAATGTTCAACTCAGAAGCCTTGTACGCAGTCTCTCTGGACAACTTGAAAATCAGGAGGTGGAATTTAAGGTTGGATGGAAATTTTGTTTTTGCCTTCCTTATACTGCCAAACATAAAGGCACCTAGATTATATGGTTATTCTTTTATACAATTGAATTTCAGGAAAAACTTGAAATGGAACTCAAAAGACATACAGAAGAAGCTGCTTCTAAAGTTGCGGCTGTTCTGCAGAGAGCGGAAGAGCAAGGACAGATGATTGAATCACTTCATGCATCTGTAAGCATTTGTAGTGTTTTTGATTTTAGAACTCTGCAGGAATGTTTTAGTTGAATGTTTAGAACCTTGGGAGGGGTTGGGGTTTTCTATAAAAGAGAGGACCTGCGGGTCCTGCTGTGATAAAAATACCAGACTTATAGAACCCTAAATATAATTAAACCAAGTGTTGGTCTGAAATGCTCCATTTTATTATGACCCCTTCGTTTTGTAGTATTCTTACTTCTTTTATTTATGTTTTATTCTCATTATTCATGCCTCATAATTCTTACTTTCAACTCTTACTTCTTGTAGGTTGCCATGTATAAGAGGTTGTATGAGGAGGAGCATAGTCTTCATTTATCTCACACCTATTCTTCAGACGCCATTGCAGGTGAATTAATTGTTTATTTTGCTGCCTCTGACTCTTAAATCTGTTCCCTCCTCACACCTTCTGGTGCAATTAATTTGAATGAGAATGGGGCTTGATGGGATTGCCAACCTTCATTCTTCATCTTTGCTAAAAAGTTGTCATTTTGTAAGCAATTTTTTTCAATAAAAGGTTGTATTTGTGTACATCCAATGTGAATAGAAGGTAACCCAAGTTTCACCATAGTAAAAGCAAAAAGGGGGCAAAGAAGCCTTGGTGACACAACATAAGGTTTATGATATCTTATGTTTTTATAGATATCTAAGCCTTGGGGTCCTTAGGTTTTCATAATTGAACCTGTGATATCTGAATGAAAGTCAAAAGTAAAAACAGCACATAATCTCTTTGGAAAACATCTCAGTTTTAGTCTATACACCAAATTGTTCTGCTATAACTTGCTTCTCTTTGGTGTTTAGCTCATTCATGATTTCTTCGAGGGTTCTTCCACTAAGTGTAGCCGAAATGAAGATGTTGTGTTGGATGTGTGGTAAGACTAGAAATGATAGGATTAAAAATGAATATATTAGAGAGTGTTGGGGTAGCACCTATAGTAGAGAAATTGGTGGAAGATAAACTTAGATGGTTTGGGCATGTAGAGAGAAAACCTGCAGATTATGTGGGTAAGGAGAGTAGGTCAAATGAAGAGAAGTCAAACAACCAGAGGAAGAGCAAGATCTAGAAAGACTATAAGAGAAGTCATGAAGAGAGATCTTGAGATTAACGATTTGGATAGAAACATGGTTATGGATAGAATATTATGGCGAAAGTTGATCCATTTAGCCGACTCCACTTAGTGGGATAAGGTTTGGTTGTTGTTGTTGTTGTTAGTGTTTACTACCTCCAATCCAAAATACATGACTCTTTTGAAAAATTTCCTTGTCCCTTTTTATAGGATCCCTTTTATTTTTCAACTATATTAGATATTTCTTTACTAAATCCTAAACCCAATCCCTTTTATTTTTTAACTATAATAGTTATTTCTTTACACACACCCTAATTATCTGACATTTTTTTTTTGCAACCAACCTTTAATACTATCATTGGAATATAAACTTATTCTCTCTCTTGAAGGATAAACTTATAGAAACACAATCAATTGTTAAAAAATTTAATAGTGCTACCAACTTACCAAGTTTATTAATCCCCTCAATTTAGGATAAATAGTTTTATATTTAGGGAAAGAGTACCGTGGCAGTATGTTTGTTGTGTATGTGCGCATAAAGTATTGCTGTTATATTATGAAAGTTACCGGTTTGCATTGAATGTTATAATGCAAATAAGCTTTTAGTTTTGAAAATTATCAGTCGGTATGTTACCTTATATTAGTTGTGTCTTGATTTTTCAGCTGCTGCAGAAGTTGGAAGAAACAACATCAAGACTTCAATTGAAAGTTCACAGGTAACCCCTTGTAGTTGTGTCTTGATTATTTACAATGATTTGTAAATAATATGCACCTTGTAGAGTGCCTATAGCAACCCCTGTTAAAATATAATTTATTATATTGATGAAATTAACCTCAATTTTTTAAAATAAAAATCCAAACTTATCCATGAGAAAATATCAAAACTATAGGTTTTCTATCCGATTTCTCTCTCTTTTTTTACGTTGGGATTTTCTCTTATACTGCTAAAAGTTTGTTCTTGCCTCAAGTCAACCTCATATGCTACAACCATTGTAACTTCCATTTTTTTTTCTTTTCCAAATCAACATCATTTTCAATATTATTTTTTCACGGCAACTTCATCATTTTCATTATTATGACTCTCCCTTCTTTTTGTTTTCATATGTTTATTTTGTATTCTTTATTGTTGTTTTGTTCCTTGAGTTTCATACCATGATTCATTTTTTTCATTTGTATTTTATTTGAAAGATTGAATATTGTGTTGGATTATTTGAGTTGTTTATGAATGGACAAATTTCTCTTTGGGAAAATATACTCAAAACAGTTGTCGGGCATAACTATTTTACTTAATATGAATGTTGTAGAATTTGAAGTATAAAATGGTAAATTTGTTTTAAAATCCCTCACCTCCCCTTGTGAACCAAACATATATTTAATTAAAATTCCTTTTTTCACCCCCTCTTCCCTTATTTGGAGCAAACACATTTAATTAAAATACCTCCCCTCTGATTCCCTCCCTTCCACTTTTCTCTATTAAAATTCTTCCCCTCCCCTTCATTGAACCAATCAGATCCTTAATGGTGCTCTTGTGTGATTTTGACAACTTAAAAAAAAACTTAGTTAAGCCGTGAAAGAAAGCAAACATGATGATGGGGAAAAGCTTGAATGTAGTTATTCTATTTAAGGAATCACTTGTATTAGTTTTAAATGCTTAGATGAGTTATTTTAAGCCTTGGAGGTTAAAATTTCTTTGGTTTAAATATTGGAAACTACGAAATCGATTAATTATTATGAACATATGTTCATGTTTATGCATTCTTCTGTCTGAATTTTCACGTGTAGTATAAATTTCTTGTTTTGTTTCCCATACACTTCAATGTATCAGCCATAATGTTTTGGGTGTCGGACCTACACTTTGTTATTCACAACTGACTACATAGCATGCAAGATAGTTTTGATTTTGATGTGTGTAGATAGCACTAGTCCATTGTACCTTATGTCAAAACTGAACTTTTATATTATTTATAATACTAGGATGTGTTAAGTGTTTTAGGTTTGTCTGATCTTTTTCTTATTTTATGATTATTCCTTATTCATTGTATACTTCGTTGCTTGTAATTGTTGTGATGTAACCTATCAAATGTTTTTTGTTATAATAATTTGTCAGATTATTAGTTGTAACCTTTTCATGGTATGTATCGATCCAATGATGGGCTGTATACTTAACATTTATATATATTTTTTGTTTTCAATATTATAGGAAGCTGCTTAACATTTATATATATTTTTTGTTTTCATTATTATAGGAAGCTGCTAAGAAAACACTTGAAAAAGCTGCAGAGCGTGTAAGATGTCTTGAGGATGATTTAGCAAAGTCTAGGTAAGGTTTTATTAAATTGCTATGATTTTTTATTGTTGTTTATTATGTATTTTACTGTGTCTAGCAAAGTTGTCAAACTCGCGAGTCTACTCAGACTCGTTAAGGGTCTGTAGACTCGACTTGCAAACTCGTACGAGTCTATAGAAAATTAAAAATGACATTTAAAAACCTATAATTTGCACATATATGACACACTCTTGTGTTCTTAAACTTATAAATGTCTCGTATATGACACAAATAAAATAACAACACAAATTATTCACCTCTTTTTGATGCAACCTATTTCTTTTCTTTTTAGGAACCTAAAAAGTAAATAATAATTCAACTCAATATTTCTAAAAATATTAAAATCAAGTCTTATAAACAAACAAATAATAATTCAACTCAATATTTCTAAAAATATTAAAATCAAGTCTTATAAACAAACAAATAATAATTCATTGCCATTCAAAGGAATTCCAATTATGTTCACAACTAGAGGAGCTATAAGTTAAGCTTAGAACACAAATTACAAACCTCTTTAATTCTAGAGTCATATCTCCGTAGAAATCCCACCCTTCAGTAAGTAACATATCCTTCCTAAACTATTTTCTTCCATAAACCATAAACTTTCTAAACTATTTTGTCACATGCAAATTGATACATGTGATTTGGATCATTGAAACTGATTGGACAATAGTGCATCACCTTTACACAAGATATCATACATGAGAAGCATCAAATTGAATCATATAAGAAAATACTTAGACAACAAAGGATTAATTTATGTCCATGAACACGAATAAGGCAAGAGGCAGAACAAACTCACGTCGTTGACGAAGGGAGGGAGAAACTTTGTTGAAACAAGAGACTAAGAGAGAGACTATCTAACTATCGTACAAGCAAAAAAAAAGGTTTATTTTTATAAATAAAATAGAATTTTTTTGGAGAATTTAGGTCTTTTTTGGTTTTAAAAAAACTAAAAAAAAAACTTATAGACTCGTAAACTCATTATGGACTTGCGATTCTATATGAGTTTGTGCGAGTCTACCCGAGTTTACTTGAGTCTATCAAAAAAAGATTCTATGCATGTGTTTACGAGTCTACCCGCGAGTTTGACAACCATGGTGTCTAGTGCCTCATAACTACTACTTAGGGGATATTGAGACCAAGCACATCCCTTGACATCCAGCATAATGAGGTGCCTGAGGCTGCAATGAAGAAAGCCCAAAATTGCCGCTATAAAAGTGGCCAAATGCAGACTGCAATTGATGAATTCATGTGGTTTTTCAACATACATTTTCATGCGCAACAATATAACCTTGATATGCTCTAATACTATCTTATAATTTGTGTTAAGGGTCTAAATCAGCCTCACAAAATTTGATTTGGGATAAACATATCCCTTCACACCTAACACAGTGAAGGCGGATAAACATATTCCTTCGCACCTAACACAATGAAGGCGACGAAGGCTCTGCATTGAAAGCCCAAATTTGCCACAATTAAGGCAGTTAAGAGCAGGGCTAACTTTAAGTTGGCTATCCAACATTTTAATATTATTCTAGTTACTATCATGTAGTTTGCAATAGCCAAATGACCAGAGATGCTAGGATTTGGAGTTCTTCTATTAGTAGAAATAAGCGGTAGAGTTTTTCCCTCTCAAAATTTGGAATGCACTAAATAGCATATTGCTTAATATAATAAGGGTAATGCTAACTTGTGCCCTTGGGACACAAGTTAAGGAACCCACTTATAGTAAATTTGTATTGGAAAAAACAATTTAAAAATTAATTTTATACTTTGATTAAAGTTTGTACACAATTTTCAAGATAATATTTCTTAACTTAGTTTTTAATTTGTGTCCTTGGGACACAAGTTAGCATTACCCATATAGTAATATTATAATTGGTAGAAACCTATAAATATTCTTAATACTACTAAATTAAGAACAGAAAGTTATACTGGTTACTGATGGCTACTTGGTGCTTGAAATTTCCTCTTATGCACATTCACTAGGTAGTTCTATAGTGGGTTGCTTTATTTCACGTGTCAGCGACTTCTATTTATATACAATTATGCCTCTTGTTGGTTAATAGTGTTCAAAAACTTACTTTCATTGAGTATTTCTTTTGATACATTGAATTGAATAGATATAGATCGCCTAAAGAGAAACTATAGAACAGTTTCCCAGCTATCCAGTGTTATTGTTCAACTAAAATAACTGAACTAGTTAAACTTCCAGGTTTACATTACATGTATAATGTATCTCTCATAGTTGTTGATGTAGCAATATTTTTAAAATTTCTGATCATCTTTGCTAATCCAATGTTCGATATTGTGTATGTGTGTGCGCACACACGAAATTTATCAAACCTATAATACCCTTTTATATTAATCCTTTTCTTTTAATGATTCTTTGGATTATCAAAAGTTCATGATCCTTCTACTGCCCTTGCTCTCCTTTTAGCTTCATAGCTAATTTCATAGGCTGAACTTTTGCGTATTTTCAGGAGCGAGATTATTGTATTACGATCAGAACGCGACAAAATGGAATTAGAAGCAAATTTTGTTAGAGAGCGGCTTGATAGCTTTATGAAGGAATTTGATTTCCAGGCAATTACTTTCTGTCATATCAAGTGTTTTGTTCATGCCCACTTGTATTGTACTAATTTATGAACTTTTTTGAGAATATAGAAAGCTGAAACAAAAGGCATTCTGGCAAGAAATGTGGAGTTTTCTCAGCTAGTTGTCGACTACCAACGAAAATTGCGGGAGAGTTCAGAGTCATTGAATGCTGCTGAGGAGCTCTCTCGGAGACTCTCTATGGAGGTTGAGATTTTCTTGAATTTAAAAATGTTTCTAATTACATTTTTGTGAACTTTGATCAAAGGTATATCCTTTCCTTAATGAGCTCATTTTCTATTGTTATTTCAGTTGTCTGCTTTAAAGAATGAAAAGGAAGTCTTATTAAATGCCGAAAAGAGAGCATCTGATGAGGTTCGCAATTTATCTGAAAGGGTGTACCGTTTGCAGGTCAGGATTATTCAGTATTTAATACTTTTTTATATTTCTCAAATTTTGCATATTCTAACTCTTTCCATTGTAGGCTACATTGGGTACCATACAGAGTGCTGAAGAAGTTCGAGAGGTAGATTATTCTCCTAAATGTGTGTTACTTTATTACTTTTCCAATACTTTCTTTATGGAAGTTCTATTTGTTTTCTAATATGTAGGAAGCAAGAGTTGCGGAGAGGGTAAAACAAGAAGAACATTCAAAGCAATTGGAGGTGAGTTTTCTACTTTCTTGGGAATATTCTCTATTTACCAGTGAATATTCTCTATTGTGAGTCCCATTATTATGGCGTGTTTCAAGGGTCTCTACTTCTGATTTTCTGGCGAGTTGGTTTTCTAACTTTTTTTCTTCTACTTGGTCATCCTTTCGGTTTGTGTTCATGTTCTCCTCCAGTGTGTTCATTCTTGTTGGACTTTCCGCATTAATTGTTATACTCAACAATTCTCCATTGGTCTGGTCGTCACTTGTCACTATGCTTCAACTAGCTTTGCATTCTATATTCTAAATCTATATTGAAAGATTATTAAATAAATGATGAGATTATATCATGTCGACAATCTCTCATGCTACACAACTGTTGATTCTCAGTTATATTTACTTTATATCAATCACTCATGTCGTGTTCTATATAGCCTTTAAAACTTCCTGTATCCCTAAGTCCTTGATGTATCCCTAAGTCCTTGATGTATCATTCCTTTCCTGATGCTGATGCTTTTATAGTACATATTCGACATTCCTTATTGATTTTTTATTGCTATTGTTTTGTGTCAGAGGGAATGGGCTGAAGCCAAGAAAGAGTTGCAAGAAGAGAGAGAAAATGTGCGGAAACTTGCGCTTGATCGGGATCAGACCATGAAAAATTCTCTGAGACAGGTTGAGGATATGAGCAAAGAGTTAACTAATGCACTGGGTGCACTTGCATCTGCAGAATCCAGGGCTGCTGTGGCCGAGGTATTATTTTGCTTGCTCTCTTTTGTATGCTTTATTTTTATTGTTATTAATTGTTCTACTTGTAAAGAAAAACATTGGTCTCTATGCACAGGCAAAACTCTCAAGTATTCAAAAACAAATGGGTTCCACAGATGGGAAGGTTTGTTTTTATTATTTGCGTTCCTTTTTGTTTAGAAAATGGAAACTCATTAGTTGCGATGGTAAGATTAAATAAATATAATGAAAAACTTGTAAATTAATAGTATGGGACTTCTTAATTTCCAACGCTCCCCCTCAAATCTAAGCGGGACTCTTATTTTCTTTTACTCGTTTGAGTTCAAAAGTTTTTTATTCTTTTTACGGGCTTGTCCTCAATGGGGCTAGGCCATTTGGCTTCCGGTACCCTCTTTTTCTTTTCTTAAATCTGTTGAGTCTCAAGGCCCAGCTCAGTCGTTTCTTTTTGTTAGCCTGGGGATTTGACTCTGATACCAGTTGGGGATTATTGCACAGTCCGAATTGGAGTGTTGTATATTAGTTGTATAGTTTGTGTTCTTAAGTGTGGAAGCCCATAGTCGAAAGTTAAAATTAATGGACTCAGCTGTTCAACTCAAGCTCTCTACCACTTATAAACACTTTCATTTTCTTTGTTTTCCTCCTATGTGGGACTTAATTCCAGCATATATTAATTGGTGTTTAATTAGATTTTCCACTGTTGCTTTCCTGCAATTATGTTGTTTTTTTTCTGTTAATTCTAACACCTTGTATTACTGAATACAGCTTGTCAATATGAATTCAATGAGTGGACCTTCCATTTTATCTAATGATGAGGTGGGTGTACATTGATATATCTTGATTTCACCTCTACTGCTATGCATTTGCTTGTGCCATTTTCTATGAAATAAACCAATATTTTCTGTTATTAAAGTGCACTGTGTTCAGTTGAATATATATGGTAGGCAAGTGAAAATCCTGTTGCATAGTCTCTTTATGGGGAAGCCTCCTTCCGTTTATTTGTGAATAAAATTTGGGTGACTTCCTCACTCCTACAAATAACAATAACAGGATGTAGACTACACGTTATTTTTTTCTTTGCAAGCTAAAACAATTGATATGTTTAAAAGGTTGATTTTTCTATCTAGGTTGATTTTAAAGGTCAATATTATAAATCTAAACTGAAGAATTAACTGCCCGGATATCTGAGTTATAAATATGGGTTATTAAAAAATAGGAGGTATTAAATAAAACAAAATCATGCAGTAGTATTAATTGGCAGATTTAAAGCAAATTCATGTAGTATCTCAACTTCCAAGCATTTTGCTCGTGATAAACTAATTTCAACAAGCAAAGGCTTGAATTGATAAGCTTTGAGCTTGAAGACTCTACTAAGCTACGTGTGCTTTGAGATTATGAACTTTGAGCTTTACAGGCTATTATTCATAGCTATTATGTTTTTCCATTCATTTATAGTTGTGCAGGAAGATTATATGATTTATGCAAATATGGATTTAAAAGAAAATGGTTTACAACAAATGATAATATCTTAAAAAATGCAAGGCCTAATAACGGTGGTTGTAGACCGCGAAGGATAAATTAATGTAAACTACTTGGGGCAAGATCATATGTACCATAAATTGATATAATAATACATGTTTAACTATCACTAAGCCAAACTTTGGAGATTATAATGATGTTCCTTATATATAAAGAAATAAAGATACTTCAACATCTACTCGTTATAATTGATCTCTATGGCTTCATATTTTAAAACTTTTAAAATTTTTTATTTTCAACATTTATGAAAAATATGTTTTTCTATGTTAGCTATCAATAAACATTCGTTAATTTATATCTTACGCTGTTGTGCATTTAATTCTTTATAAGTAAAAAGATTCAATAATTTTCATTGGGGATTCAAAAATTATTAAATGACTACCACCGTCTGTCTCTGATTGTAGTGCTCTTTTGCTTAATCAAGTTCCACCTAAAAGTTGATTAGACAAAGTATGGCCATAGTGGTCATAGTGGTCTAAGTGATTGTTCTTGTATGGACATGAATGTTGCTCTATTTATATAGCTTGTCATCAACTAGAAAAGTCTTCGATTGTTACACTGTTGCACAAGGCTTATATTTGGAATGCAAGTTTTTCTTCTTTATGCTTGGCGTGTGTGAATTCTCCTGAGATAAAGCAAATCTAAACTCAAATCAAATGCAAAAATCAGTATAAATATGCTCAAATGTGTTGTGCAAGACTCCTTTCAACGTTTTCCTTTTTTACGTTTTACGTTCATATTATTCTACAGTGCATTGGAATGTTGGACTTGTGTTGCATTTCTGTTTGAGATTTACTTTCTTAACCTGCTCTAGGTTACTGCTGAATTGCAAACAGCAAAAGAAGAGATTGAGAAACTGAAAGAAGAAGTACATGCTAACAAAGCACACATGTTACAGGTTTACATTTTATTCTTTTCAATCATTTGATTTTAAAATTTTAATTAAACTAACTGCCTGTTTATATTTTACATTGAAGTATAAAAGCATTGCTGAGGTGAATGAAGATGCACTGAAACAAATAGAAAGTACACATGAGGACTACAAGATAGAGGTACTCTAGCATGGCTGAATCTTGAAATATATTTCAATGCAATTTGTTATTTTTCTAAATAGGCTTAGTTGTATTTTTAGCCCGTTTATTATTGCTAGATATTCCGGCCCCTAAAATATTTTAGATCAAAATTAGCCTATTAGGTCCTCAGCTTTTAAATTGATAAAATCAAGTCATCTCCATCAACTTCCTTTTTCCAAATACTTAAATTCTTAACTTCTCTCAATCTGTTCAAAAGTTTCACAAATTGAATCAATGAAATTGTTTTAAACCTTCCCTACTAAAAAACACCAATCAATCCATTAAATTTCACTGAAAAGTAAAAAAATCCCAAATTCCCGTCCTCTTCAAAACCTGTAACACATTTTACAAAACTCAATGTTATCAAAATTTCATTATACCATATAAATTATTTTTTGACTCAACTCTCTCACTGCACTACTACTAGGGCTATATTTGCTAAACGTTTCAATTAGAGGGCGTTGGTTAGCTTGAAAACACTAGAGCCACAACAATCCCACACTCCAAACTTGGAGGACTAAAAGTCTAATTAAACCTGCTAATTATATTTTGTTTGTAAACACATTTAGGTTGACAATGCAAAGAAAGCTCTAGAAGCTGAACTGCATTCACTTAGAGAGAAGGTTTCAGAGCTTGAAAAGGAGTCTAGTTTGAAATCTGAAGAGGCGGTATCTGCAACTGCTGGAAAAGAAGAGGCTCTGACATCTGCTTTGGCTGAGATAACAAATCTTAAAGAAGAAATTTTAGCCAAAGCGTACGTTCTATCTTTGTCCTGCATTGTAAAATTTACTGCTTCTTTGGCTAGATGTAACTAACATTTTATGCATACAGTTCTCAAATTTCAGAGATGGAAATTCAGATGTCTGGTTTAAAAGAACACCTGGACAAGGAGCATCAGAAATGGCGTTCTGCTCAAACAAACTACGAAAGACAAGTTAGAACATGTTTTCTCTTTAGATAGTATTGGAATTGTTTGTTTGATTTGGTTTGTCATTTCGGATGCTGGACTGCTGATGCTATTTGTGACTCATATTTAAATTCAAGTAATTGGAAAATCATGAACCTTACATTGGCTTATCATTAGTTATTTAAGAGTGTGGACTGCGTTCCTGCATCGATTTTTTATTTACGGGTTTCTTTTCTGTCTTGGTCTCCCATTTTGTGTAGTTTGATCCACTTTCACTAATGTAGTTTATCCTTTTATGAGATAAGTGTAAATAAAGTTGGTCTTCTTAATGTGCCTGTGCACTTATTCATTAATGTGGTAATGAAAGTGGGTGTGATGCGCTGTTTCTCTTAAAATATGTAAAAAAAGCTATTTTCTCTATTTGCACACATTTTTTACGCCCATTCCTCCATCTGTGACTCTTGGTATTGCTTATATGCGGGTAATCTTAGCTCCTTTTTCATCAAAGCTTTCACACACATATATTCAAACTCTATATGCCATGATTACATGCAAATATCTTATTGATTCTTGATATTTTTCCTTGTGACTTTCAAGCTTCATCACCCATTATTTTTCTCTTCTGGGTTTTTTTATGTCTCGGATGATTTTGCAATATTGGTGTCTTAAGTGAGGATGGCATACCCAAAAACTTGCATCATGTTTTTTTTTCTCTCTTCAATTGTCATGTTTTATTTAATTTTTGCTAATTTACCACTTTGTTTTCATCTTGTTTCCTGTAGAAAAATTATATATATATATATATATATATATATATATATATATATATATATATATATATATATATATATATATATATATATATATATATATATATATATATATATATATATATTCTAATCTTTGGGGATTTGCATTTCTCAGGTTGTTCTCCAGTCTGAGACTATTCAGGAGTTGACTAAAACATCTGAATTACTAGCCTCGCTGCAGGAGGAGACATCTAAATTACGTAAATTAACTGATGCTCAGAAAATTGAAAATGTAAGATTTCCTATCAATTTAATAGTTAAATTTACTATCTGTTTCATTTTCAATACACGAGTACACTATATTTTAATTATTTCTCTCTGTTAAGTTCACAAATTCATTGTGGTGTTTGAGACCCATGAAATAATCTGTCCGTTAAATATCAGTGATTTTTCTTGATAAAATGTTTGAGTAATGCTACCTGAGGTTTTTTACCGATATTTGGCTTCCAAATGGAATAAACGGGCACAGTTGATCAGATTGCACATCAGTGGTATTGGCTTACAGTTTTGCGGGTCTGTCGGGCTGAAATGAAAGGAGCATTTAGAAATCGCTTAGGTGGCACCGAGAAGTGTGAAAGTTGTGTGTTGGATATATGCTATCATAGAATTATTGTCTGTTTAGATTGATTTATTTGAATTTATCTTCTAGATTAAACATTTGTGAGACTATTTATAAGTGGTTATGAAAATAGTTTATGAGATGTCCATAAGTTGTATTCATCTTATTTCCCTAAGCTCTTTAGGATGATATATGAAAATAACTTACATAAAAACAATTTAACTACATTTAGTTTTTATTTATAGAAATAGTTTATGAGAAATTATATTTGACACAACTTTGATGTCAAACTCAACAACAAATTAGTGGGTTAGCACAGTTCAAATTTGTGGTTAACGGAGTTCAGCTGACGGTGGATGAATATAACATTGCAGTTCATTTTCATCTACTGAACACAATTATTCATGACTTCGAGTATATATTTGTATACAAATTGTGGTTTCGTATATCATGTTTATTTGAACACCCTAAATCATGTATGCTCGAGCATAATTTGGGTAATCAACAGAAATATGTGTTTACCTGAACACTTGAAAATCATGATTAATGATTTTCAAAATTGTGGTTAACTATGTAAGTTAATGGGGTATGAGGTGCGACATCTTGTTATATTCATTAATCATCCATTGAAAATTGAAATTCGATGTCAATTCTTTGTCCAAATAACACGACTTGTAGTTCATAGGTCAATGCTTATAATTAAGCACTTATGCTATAAGTGCTTAATTAAACTATTTATCCCAACAGGAGCTTAATTTGTATTCATATTACACTTTGTTAAATTTCACCTTCAATCAATCAAATTCTGTCATTCCATTAAAATTGTTTGACTTCGATCATAACTACTTTAAGTCACTCATTAGATGTTGTGATTGGTTTATATTGTAAAATATCTTACACTGGTGGTTGATATTTTACAACACAGAATGTATTTAATGTATCTTAGGAAGTAGTGCTAGCTTGATTGCTCCTTTGTAAATTGCATCATTTATTTATTTTCCATGTATTCAAGTATATAAATTAAGCAAGTATGCTGTCTATAAAGTAAGTAAATTGCATCCTTTTATCTTTCTCGAGTTATTGATTTTACGTGACTTCGGTTTCCATCAATTTATGATGTGAAAATATAATGAAACATTATTGGATATATGTTTAAAACTTGTTTTCAATGTGAATAGATTGTTGTTTACAGAATCAAAGAAATGTTGTTCTTTTCTTTAGACAAGAATTGCCTTGTTATCAAAGCGGCATAATTAATAGACAAGTGGGTCATTAAATAATTGTTACCAACTTACCATTAATTTTCACAAGATCTTGTGTGTTTTAAGGATCACGTGATTCTAAACTCAACTGTGCCTGTCTTACATGTAAGGCTAGGCTTCTGATATTGTTTATTGCACACTTCATATATAATCTAGAGTCATCTGTGTCATATTATATCATTTTTCTTATTGGTTTCATCCATTGTTGTCAACCTAATTCACCACATATATATTGTTTTGACAGAATGAACTAAAGGCAAAGTGGGAAGAGGAAAAGGCCGGACTTGAGAAGTCAAAGTATGATGCTGAGAAAAAATACAATGAAATCAATGAACAGGTTTTTGAAGAATATCTTGTGCGACTAATTTTTCTGTATTTTAGCAAAGGAACATTCTTGGTTTTTCTTTTGCATTAAATTGTGTGTATGGAGAAAGAAAAGAAACAAGCTATTACAATTTAAATTTGGTTTAACTCATCCCTAAAAAACAAACTTTTAAGGGAAGGGAGGTGCCACACTTTATAAACTCTTTTTAGGTTCTATCTTTGATCAATGTGGTTTTGGGTTTTCCCAATACACGCCCAACACTATCGAGCTTGGCGCGTGGGTAAATACAATGGGTGCCCGAATTGTCGATATGTGGGATTTTGTTTTTCACCTTCTCACACCCAACATTATTGGGATTGGTGCGTGAAATAAATGGTGGGTGGCCCGAATGGTAGGCTCTTGATACCATATTACAATTTGAGTTTTGCTTTTGCCTAACTCATCCATAGAAAACTGACTTGTAAGGTGATGAATGTAACTCTATAAACATGAATATTTTCATTTTTTGAATTTACTACATTATAATATACAAACAAAATCTGACCATTTCTCAAGCTGGCATATATAAAAATATGGACAATCCTTGTAATATGTGTATGTGGATGTTTCTATAAATGATTCATGGACTGCTTATAGGGTGACTCCATTTGAAGTCCTGCGGTAAGAATGCCGTTAATAAGATATTATGTGCCAAGTATGGTGTATGTGTATTATAAGTTGGACAAGGGCAGTGGCAATTGTTGTAGTCCCATGTGTCCTCCGATTTCATTACCAGTAGTCATGTTCGAGTTGTGGTTTACCCAGTTGGATCAAATGCACGTGTTTAGGTGAAATTAGATATGAGTATTTGATTTTAAGCCTTGAAGAGAGATATATTTATGATATGTAGTTTATATTGAGGATTATTAATATATGGAAGACTGAACTATTTAGTCATCACACTTGCATTTTTATGCTATGTTGGTTGCCACCATTTTATTTATGTAATCAACCACATTAACATTTTTTCAGAATAAAATCCTACATAGCCAACTGGAGGCGGTGCATATTCAACGGGCTGAGAAGGAGCGCAATGCTGCCGGTATTTCATCTGGAAATATTGGTGATACATTTGGTGATGCCGGCCTTCAGAATGTAGTTAATTATCTCCGCCGTTCAAAAGAAATTGTAAATACCTTTGTGTTTTTGATATTGTCTCTTTCTTTCAATTGTATGTTAGTTTCTTGGTTTGTTAATACTATTTTTCTTCTTTCACAGGCAGAAACAGAAGTTTCATTGTTAAAACAGGAAAAGCTACGATTACAGTCGCAGGTAATAATTGTTGTACATAGACATGCAACAAAACCTGTACTTGTAGGTACCAGCCTAAACCCGCCCCGTGTTTGACGGGGGAACCCCGATTTTGACTGGGTTTGGGTTTTCCCCGATTTTAAAAGATGGGGATGAGAGGGTAATGGGAACACCAATACCCACCTGAACCTGTCCCCGCCCCGTTGATAATTTGGAATATTCTTGATGATTTAGAATATATTAATTGTTTAGTCAATACATTGATATTTTAGTTTGTAATTTATTATTTGAAATGTATGTATGAAACTTTTTAGGATTATTTTAATCTATTATTTCTGATGTATCCTAATGTTCGTTAGAGTTCGGGACAAATTATGGATTTGAAGAAATAGACTATTTCAACTTTAAAAAATTGATTCTGATGTGGGGTTGGGGTTGGGCGGGGATACCCGAATCCATTTGGGACGGATTTTGGGTTCAATTATTTATCCTCGTTTGGGTTTGGGGTGGGGAATGAGTATTTAACTCGGATTTGGAGGGTTTGGGTTGAGGGAAGGTAAAACCTGTTCCCACGCTCCGTTGCCATGCCTAGCTTTACCCATGCTTTTTATTATATTTCTTATAAAGTGGTGCATGCACATCTAACTTAGGTTAGTTATTAATTTCCTATCCCTTCTCTTACCACCATATGATGTTAACCCATGTATCATTCTCAGAGTGTCCTGTTGTCTGACTTGACTTTTGTTGGGAAACCTGGCATTAATTGGAGAAAAGACTTGGAAAGAGTTTATGAAGAATGAGCAATTCTTGCTCTACAAACTGGTTCTCTAGGTTTAGTTTGACCAAAAACCTTATATTATATTGGAACCTATTCTAGATCACACGAGCCATCCACCATATTATCGATACTCTAGCCCAATTGTGCTCGTTCGAAGCAGTAGTATTGGGAATCTGAAATCCCTCATTCATGATGGATGAAACTTGGAAAGAGTTGATAAACAATGATAGATAATCTCTACTTGTAAATTCGGTATTTTCTAAGTTCGGTGTCTATACTTAGATTGCACATGTATTATTTAATAATGTTGTTACAATAGATACATTGATTATCTAATGACTAACTTAGGGAATTCAATTACAAACAAATGAAACAATCAATATAGAATATGAATATCTACGGGCGGGCTTAGTTATAACACTATTAATCGAAATAACTCTGTACTTGACATAATCTCTTTATCCAATAAATTTTTTTACACAAATACATGGAGTGAGTGATAACTATATTTGGCTCTGTGATTTTTGTGATGGTTTTTGACGCGCCTTTGAAATGGTATATAGTTGTTTGACCTGTTAATTCTCTGTAGCTTGAGAGTGCTCTGAAGGCAGCAGAATCTGCGCATGCATCTCTAGAAGCTCAGCGTGAAAAATCAAGATCATTTATGTTTACTGAAGAAGAATTCAAATCATTACAGCTTCAGGTTGACGGTCCTATTATTAGGAACTAAATTTATTCATTATCTATGGTTAATGGTAATAGTATATGAGGTTGATATATGAGGTTGATATTTACCCAGTAATCATGTTTTTAGATGACGTTAAGGGTTGCTTAATTATTTGTAGGTCAGGGAAATGAACTTGCTTCGTGAGAGTAATATGCAGCTCAGGGAAGAAAATAAGCACAATTTTGAGGAGTGTCAGGTATGTAGATATTTCATTTGTTTACTTTTGATCTTCTGATTCTGTTGTTACTTCAACATATAAGTTCATAGAAGTGCTGTTGATAAGCTTAAAATGTCATCTCAGTAGTATCACCTGGTTCTCATGTTGCTAATAAGCTAATTGTTGATTTTTGTTAGAAATTGCGTGAATTAGCTGAAAAGGCAAGAGCTGAGATACAGAATCTAGAGAATCATCTAAGAGAAAGAGAAATTGAGCTGGAAGGCCATAAAAATGAAATTGAAACACTAAAAGCGGAAAAGGAACATCTCAATCACAAGGTTTCTGAGGTATTGCCTTTTGAAACACAAGAAATTTATTACTGAGCTTTATACATTTTAAATCTGCCTTCATTGTTAATCCTAATTCATTTCAACTTTTTTTATCATCTAAGTTGCTTGAAAGGTGTAAAAATGTTGATGCGGAAGATTATGATCGAGTAAAGAAACTCGTAAAAGATTTGCAGGTTGTTATAGTAATTCTTATTGTTTTTCAATTTCATGCCTCTCACTCTTTGCAGTTCTCTAGCATTTAGTGTTTACATGTTCCTTTTCCTCTTACACATTATACATGAAATTTTTATTCCCATGAACATGAATAGCCTGTTGACTGACACTCTTCCTTTCATAAATTTTAATAACTTAAACTGTTCTAATTCCTTGCATTTCTTTTTACTGCTCGATTATTCTAGTTGTTGTGTTGCCTATGCTTTGACCATTTAAAATTTTAATCATGTTTATAAATGAACAGATGATTCTAGACCTATATTTCAATTTGCAAGAATATTAATTTTCTTGGAGTACATTCTCAAATATTACTTCGACCAGTCTTTCTTTTGGTCAAAAGCTTTTTATAGTCTTGTTCAGTCATTGTTCTTAGTAAATCGGGATTGCTTAGTTAATTAGCATGCTGTTGCTGGTTATTTGAAAGTTGCTGCCTCGCAATTTTTTTCAAAAACAATGGTGCATTCTTTTCTTTTTTGCCGGTTTATGCTCAAATTGAGTTGCAAATCATTTTTATTTTCTGGTTTTATTGACACACAAATACACACTCGCACTCACTTCTTTTGTTTTCAATTAATTTATACCCTAATTGAAGAAATATATTCATTTCCACTGCCAGGATAAACTTAAAGATAAGAATGCTCGCACTTGTTTTGTTTTCAATTTATTTATACACTAATTGAAAAAATATATTCGTTTTCATTGTCAGGATAAACTAAAAGATAGGGATTCTCAGATTGAGGAGACTGGTAAAATTATTTCTGAAAAGCAGGATTCTCTTTCACGATTAGAGCAAGAGCTTTCAAACTGCAAATCAGAGCTTGTGGAGAAAGAGAAGAGAATTAACGAGATTCTTAAAATTGAGGTCTTCAACATATTCTGTCTTTTTTTAAATGTTTGGGAAAAAGTATTTTTTATGTTAACAAGCTGTTGTTATATGGTTGTTCAAACAGGCTAACCTAAAACAGGATGTGGAGAGGAATAGGAAACTGCTGGCCCACTTTAAGGTGAATCAAATTCTTATTTGAAAAATGAGGAGCATTTTCTATTTATAACTGTATAGTAAGATTTTTTTTTGTTTTTTGTTATTAGTGGTTTCTTGTTTGTTTTCATCCTCTGTTTTCATTTTCATACTTACAGAAAAAGACTGATCTGTTATCAAGGGAGAAGGAAGATCTAGGGAAAGAGAATCAGCAACTTACTAGACAATTAGATGAAATTAAACAAGGTAATTGTCCATTACTTTTTTTTGTACCTTTTCACTATCTATTGGTGGAATGTATTCTTATTATTGGATGTTGTATATTAGGGAAAAGACCAACAAGTGATACAACTGGTGAACAAGCAATGAATCAAGAAAAGGACACCAGAATACAGGTCAGTGGTTTAGATTGTTTCCCTGTTTTCAAGGCAAAGGTAGACAAGTGATTGACTTTCTGTTTGCTAGATTCTGGAAAAAACACTGGAGAGAGTGAGAGCTGAATTAAATAAGGAGAAGGAAGACAAATCTGTGGAGAAAAATAAACGACTGAAAAATGAGAAGGCTATAATGGACTCTTACACCAATGTTGAGCTGGTAATTCCTGCCTCACCATATTATATTTTCTTGTCTTCTGCTTTTGTTAGATTTCAGAGAATTACTAACTAAATCTATTTTGGAATATTCTGATTTGCATTGTTAGATTTGTTAATGAAATAGTTCACCATATTATGTTACAGCAATGTGTGCAGGTTATACTGAACTGTTCCATTAACTCTAATCTGTGCACAGTGCACAGTTGTTGCTAATAGAATAGTTAAAGATAGAGTTAGTTAGTCATTTCTAGAACTCTGTTTTCCTCTTGCTGAGCTGTCCAGTTTGTTATAACAGCTTCAGTTAGTTAGTTGCTTCAGTTAGTTAGTTAGTTAGATCTAGGTGATCTCTCTATATATAGAAAGCCCCTTGTATCAACATGAAAACACATTGAATACATTGAACATAATGAGAAATTCTCAACCTATTCTAATTCTCTCTGCTTTATCAAACTCTATCATGGTATCCAGAGCTTGATTTTTTTTCAATCCATGGAGTCTTTGTTTCCGTCTTCGCAAGTGAAGCTATCTCACTTAATTTCTGTGAAGCTTGATGACAAGAACTTCAAGCAGTGGAAGCAACAGATCGACGGCGTTGTTTGCGGTCATCGCCTGCAATGGTTTGTTACAGTTCCGGTGATTCCACAGTGGTGACCGTCCGATTCCGATTCAGCACTTCACGGTGCGAATTCAGCGTACTTGGAATGGGAACAACATGATGCACTCATCTGTACCTGGCTGCTATCCACCATCTCCGATTCACTTCTACCGAAGCTTGTGGATTGCAAGCATCCTTGGCAAGTTTGGACGGAGATTCATCGGTACTTCAACACGCTTCTCTCTACCAAAGCGCGACAGCTGCGATCGGATTTACGTTGTCTCACGAAAGGAACACTCACGATTGAGGAACTAATGGCTTGTGCGCGTGAAATCAGTGAATCACTGACTTCGATTGGGGATCGAGTTCCTCTTCGTAACCTAATTGAGATTGTTCTTAATTCTCTCCCTGAGGAGTACGACTCCATCGTTGCCGCTGTTAACAGTAAAGAAGAATTAAGCTCGTTAGAGGAGTTGGAGTCGTCGTTGCTGGCTCATGAGTCGCGTCTGGAGAAGCATCGCAAAGCTGTTACTATGGAGCCTGTGACGGTGAATCTTACTTAGGCAGCGCCACCGTCTACGCCGGTTCCTACTGATCCCACCGCCACAGACGTTTTTCCTCATGGTACGAGTCACGTTAATGCTAATGCTGAGGGTTATGGCTCACGAGGTCGTTCTGGTCGTGGAGGTGGCCGTTATGGTCGTGGAGGAGGACACTCAGGCAAAATGCAATGTCAGATTTGTCACAAATCTAGACATGATGCTTCTATCTGTTACTACCGTTACTCCAACTCCAGTGGTGTTGCGTACACACCTCAGAGGGCTCAGTACAATCCTTTCCTCATGCCACCACGCCCTATGTATCCCTCTCCTTTTGGTTATCCTGCTTCTAGAGCTGCACCTCCTAGATTCAGCACCACAAGCCTTTTATGCAGGTTCTGAAGCTAATTTCAACAATCAATGGTGGTATCCTGACTCAGGTGCGTCTCATCATGTTACTCCTGATGCCTCTTATTTGTCTGATTCCGTTTCATTGCCTGGGACTAAGCAAGTCTTCATGGGAAATGGCCAAGGTTAGTCTATCAATTCTATTGGTTCTATGTCCTTTTCCTTACCAAACAATCCTAACCTATCCCTTACTCTTAGAAATCTCTTACTTGTTCCTCACATCACCAAAAACTTGATGAGTGTGAGCAAATTTGCTCAAGACAACAATGTTTTCTTTGAATTTCATCCTAAATTCTATGTTGTCAAATTTCAGGCTTCTTCTGAAGTGTTACTTCGTGGGTCTGTTGGAAGTGATGGCCTCTACAAGTTTACAAATCCTGCCACTCAACTGTCCAAGTCCTCTACAAGCCTTAATTCCTGTTCTGCTCAATCTATCTCCAAGAATAATTGTAGCTGTAGTTTCCCTTGTTCTTCTGTAACACACAATATTAATATTTCCAATTGTTTGCCAAATTGTATCCCCCACTGTATTACTCTTTGTAATCCTAATACATATAATAATAACACTGTGAGCAGTCTTTCCCATTCTCCTTCTCTTAAATCCACTATTTACAGCACTGAGCTATCTTCATCACATTCAAATAGCTCATCATCTATAGCAACTAATAAATATGTTCTGTGGCATACTTGATTGGGGCACCCTTGGCAAGTCACATAGGTTACCTTCTTTACTACCATAGTGTATACTCATCCTTTTGAGTTAGTTGTCTGTGATCTTTGAGGTCCTGCCCCGATAAAATCACAGGAGGATACACATATTTTCTAACTTGTGTAGATGCCTTCTCTAGGTTTGTTTGGGTGTTTCCTCTTAAACTCAAATCTGACACTTTCACTCGGTTTATTCAGTTTAAGAAAATGGTTGAGCTGCAGTTTAATTGTCTCATCAAATGTGTTCAAAGTGACGGGGGAGGAGAATTTAGACCTCTCACCAAGTATTTCACTGAGTTGGGCATTGTTCATAGGCTCACTTGCGCTCATACACACCATCAAAATGGGCTTGTTGAACGCAAACATAGGCACATTGTTGAAACAAGCCTAACTCTTCTTGCCCAGTCAACACTTCCTTTGAAATTTTGGGACCATGCATTTGTCACAGCTGCATATCTCATTAACAGAATTCCCAGCCCTACACTTGACAATTATTTACCTTACTTTAAACTTCTTAACACCCCCCTCCCCCCTCCCCCTAACTATTCTAACCTTAAAGTCTTTGGTTGCTCTTGTTATCCCTATCTTCGTCCCTCCCCCCTCCCCAACCAATACTAATCCCAGTCAGGCTGAAAATCACACTTCCAGTGATGCTGCCATTCCCTCTACTTCTGTAGCCTCTCCCTCTGCTCTCAATCCTAGTCCTATTTCAGCTTCTAATCATCATGAGCAACTTGTCATATCCACTCCATCCACAGCCTCACCTCCCTGTTCCCCTGCTCTCATTCTTTCTGATCCTGCTGAAGCCAGCACTATTTCTCCCTCTTCCTCTCAAACCATATCTCCCATCTCTCCTCACCCTAATCAACCTTTTGTTAATCCTCTCAATGTGCATCCTATGCAAACTAGGGCTAAAAGAGGCATTACTCGTCCCACACTTCTTTTGACCCATATGGAACCTACATCCATTGACCAAGCATTAGCTGTTCCCCATTGGTTTCAGGCAATGAAAGAGGAATATCAGACATTGATGAAAATCAGACCTGGACATTGGTGAAAGCATCTGATTCTAGGAAGCCTATAGGCTGTAAGTGGGTTTTCAGGACTAAAGAAAATCCTGATGGATCCATAAACAGATACAAGGCCAAATCAGTGGCTAAAGGATTCCATCAAAGGGCTGGCAGTGATTTTCAGGAGACTTTCTCACCAGTCTGAGTTGTTCTAACCATTGCTGTCACAAATAAATGGACAATTAAGCAAATTGATGTGAATAATGCCTTTCTAAATGGCACTCTTGAGGAGGAAGTCTTTATGCAACAACCTCCTGGCTTTGAATCATTTGATAAGTCTCTTGTTTGCAGCATGGGTTTCAGGCTAGTAGGTGTGATCCCAGCTTGTTTCTGCTGCATCATGGCAATCTTCAGATCATGATTCTGGTATATGTTGATGATATCATCATCACAGGGAATTCTGCCTCATTTATTACCTCCTTGATCAAGCACCTCAATGGCAGATTTTCTCTAAAACAGTTGGGACAGCTAGACTATTTTCTGGGTATTGAAGTGTCTCATCTACCTAATGGCTCCTTGCTGCTATCTCAAACTAAATACCTTACTGATCTGCTTTCAAAGGTAAATATGCTGAATGCCAATGGCATGCCTACTCCTATGGTGTCTAGCAGTAAATTGTCAAAGGTTGGTTCTGCCACTGTAGATGATCCAACTCAATTCAGATCAATTGTTAGTGCCTTACAATATGACACATTGACCAGGCCTGAAATATCATTTTCTATCAAAAAAGTTTGTCAGTTTTTGTCCAATCCCTTAGAGGAACATTGGAAGGCAGTCAAGAGGATCTTATGGTATTTGAGTAGTACTCTTCATCATGGTCTGCTTCTTCAACCTGCCTCTATTCAGCAGTCTATGCAGTTGTTAGGGTTCTGTGATGCTGACTGATAGAAGGTCAACTTCAGGGGCCTGTGTCTTTCTTGGTCCAAATGTGGTTTCTTGGTGGTCTAAGAAGCAGCAACCTGTAGCTAGGTCAAGTGCTGAAGCTGAGTATCGCAGCATGGCTCAATTGGCTGCTGAGCTAACCTGGATTCAGTCCTTACTTAAGGAGCTTCACTGCCCTTTTCTATGTGACAACTTGAGTACTGTTACTCTTGCCCACAGTCCTATTCTCCACAATATGACTAAACATATGGAGCTTGACATCTTCTTTGTGCGTGAAAAAGTTCTCAGCAAAAGTCTTTTTGTGGCTCATGTTCCTACTCAAGATCAGTGGGCGGATATTCTGACTAAACCCTTATCTGCTGCAAAATTTGTACCTCTGCGAGTAAAGCTGAAGGTGTTAAACAAGAATGACTTGTTCAAACCACCCTCAGCCTCTAAAGATAGAGTTAGTTAGTCATTTCTAGAACTCTGTTTTTCTCTTGCTGAGCTGTCCAGTTTGTTATAACAGCTTCAGTTAGTTAGTTAGTTAGTTAGTTAGATCTAGGTGATCTCTCTATATATAGAGAGCTCCTTGTATCAACATGAAAACACATTGAATACATTGAACATAATGAGAAATTCTCAACCTATTCTAATTCTCTTTGCTTTATCAAAACTCTATCGGTTGCTAATAATAGCTTTTGATACTTATTTCTTATACTCCATATTATTATTATTATTTTTATTATTAATTTTATTTTTATTATTGTTAAGAAACGTGGTTGGGCCTAACTCAACCCTACAAAACCGATTGGTAGAGTGAGGATTGCTCCCACTTATAAACACATGTTCATGCCATATATTGTCTGATGTGAGACTCTTAACACACCCCCTCACGCTCAGGACTGGACAACTGAAGCGTGGAAATAAATGGTGGGTGGCCCGATAGCGGAAACCATAGAAGGTGGCCCACCGGATCTTAAACGAGGCTCTTGATACCATGTTAAGAAATTGTGGTTGGGCCTAACTCAACCCTACAAAACCGGTTGGTAGAGTGAGGATTGCTCCCACTTATAAACACATGTTCATGCCATATATTGTCCGATGTGGGACTCTTAACAATTATTATTATTATTATTATTATTATTATTATTATTATTATTATTATTATTATTATTATTATTATTATTATTATTATTATTATGATTTTTCAATTTATATAGGTTTGAGTCTATGTATCAAGTTGCTTTTATCAACAAGATTCAAACTACTTTATTTCTCTCATCTTTTTATCATAATCCCATATCCTCAACATGATATTTAGATCCTGGTTTGATCTTCTGTGAGTTATCCAGTTAATATTAGGCCGCCAAGATCTTAAAGGTTTGGGACTCTACAAATTGTGTTAGATATTATGTCAAAATTTTAAACATTACTCCCTCCATTCCTATTTATAAGCAAATTTTAACATTTTAGATTCATTAAGTAATTAATGCATCTAACATATATATAGTCCAAATACATCATTTATTGAATGAACCTAGGAAGTCAAAATTTGCTTATAAAAGAGAATGGAGGGAGTACTTTTGTATCAAGTAAACTCTATCCCTAACGAGATTTCAAGAGTTTATGTAGACTCAAGTTTGATAACTTTGTGGTTGTTCATGTCAGCTCTCCCATTATTGCTGATAATTCACTTATTCAGTACAGTTGTGGATTTACTGGCATCTTATTGTGTTTCCTTTACTTTTTCTGCCAAGTTCTATCAACCATATTGGTTTATTTACTTTCAGGAAAAAAAACAGTTTACTAATGACCTTGAGAGGCATAAGGATGCTCTAAAACGATTGTTTGATGAAGTCGAAAAGCTGAAGATTATTGTCGGCAATCTTCCTGAGGTAATGATTTTAAAAATTATTTATTGTGCAACTGAACTAATTTTGAGGGATACAATTACCTTGGCTTACTGGATTATTTTGTGATTATGTGTCCTGACTGTTTGATACTATAGTATACTTAAATAACTTTTTTATTCCTATAAATTGTTTAATTTAAGTCACTTTTGTCCTTGTCAGCACTGTCCCGGTTCCTTGTTACATCTCCTAATCCTAGCCGTCTCCTCAGCCAACCTCCACCCCTTTGACTTTCATGCTAGCTAACTACAGAATTAGAACTATATCAAAATCTGTCCTTAGTCCACCGCTTATCATGCTCGTCACTATTAAAACTGTTTTTCTTTTAAGATTTAATTTCAGAGTCTGATAGTAGAACTAAAATAATTAAGTTATTTAAAAATAAAAAATAAACGAAAATCATTATTTTATAGAACAAAAATGTTTCTTTAAGAGTTATATTTAATAGTCAATTATTTTTAATTCATTTTTGTTTTGCTTTTGCTAATTTTTATTCTCTGTTTCTTAGGGAACCAATGTTGCTCAGCTTCTTTCAGCATCCAATGTTGATGACTTCTCTGCACCTTATATATCTGCTGTTGAAAATTTTGAAAAGGAAGCTCATGCAGTATTTGTTGAATTTGGTGGCCGAGTCCCTCTTGGAGATGCATCAACAGCCATGGATACTTCAGCAGCTGCTACAGGTTATTTTAGTACTATATAATTTTGCATACATCAGGATTGTTTGAAATGCATGTGTTTAAGAAAAGTGTACAAAGTGCGACACTAAAAGAGTGCAGCTGTCAATAATGTGTCTCAATGATTCTTTTGGTTCTTGTTATACTTATAGAATAACCTCATCATGGCAGGTTCTCTGGTCCATGCTCAACCCCCTAGTGTAGTACCCTCGGCGGCCCCTGTAACAAGCAGCTTACCACCCAAGGCCACTGGTGAAAGTGAGAAACGGGTTGCACTGACAAAATCTAGTATTGAAACCCGTAAAACTGCCAGGAGATTGGTCAGGCCACGACTAGTAAAACCAGATGAACCACAGGGTGACACTGAAATGTCTGATGTTGAAGGGCTTGGAGGCAACAAACCTGGACCTTCTAGTGACACAGAAACCCAAAGCAATTTTTCTTCATCTCAACCAGTAGCTCGGAAACGTGTTGCTCCTATCTCAGCATCTGAATTACGAGAAGAATCTGTTGCTCCTGGTGAGAAGAGTTCTGATGTAGTAGCACATGTGTTAAAGAAATCCAAAGGATCAGAGTCTCCTGAAGATAGCAGTGAGGAACAGCCTGCTACAATTCCTGAATTCACTAGCAGTCATCCAGTTGCTGAAGAATCATTTGAAAGTGGTGAGTTGCCACAAGGCCAAAATGAGGATGTCAGCGAGGCTCAAAATGATGATGAGACTGCCGTTGGGAAGGATGAAGAATCCAAAGATCCACTACACTTGGATGGTACTAGTCAAGAGGAATTACAAGTTGACAAGACTGGAATTTCAGTTGAGAATCTGGATCCACCAGCGCAAACAAAAATGATGTCTGATGAGGTGCAAAAGGATCATACTGAGATAGACAACCAGCAATCAACCTTGCCTCTCAGTAGTGAGACAGAAGAAGGAGAGTTGCTCCCCGAAGCCGGAGATCCTGAGGGTGCTTGTGATGCACCTAACATAGAAAACCAAGAATCTCGGGAAGCAACCCCTGAACTTTCCCCATCTAGGGGCGATGATGATGCTTTAGAGGCTGGTGAGATTAATTCTCCTGAAGTTTCTGGTGATGATAAGAATGATGAAGGTGACTTGGTAGAGGATACAGCCGATGGTTCTGATAAATTAGCTGATGCCAATGAACAAATATCAGTTGAGAGTGATCCGGTAGCTGAGCCTGCTCCTGTTGCAAGCGAGAGTAATTTGCAGAGCAGCGTTGCAGAAAGTAGTTCCTCTAAATCACCCGTTCCAAAGCATGGGGCCGCTAGCATCCCCTCGGAAACAGAAGAGGTAAAGCCAACATCACCAATTAGTGGTACGACAACAACCACCACCATTAATTTACAAGAGCGAGCTAGAGAGAGGGCTCAATTGAGACAAGCTGCACAGTTTTCAACCACAACAAGAGCTCGTGGAAGAGCTCCCCGTGGTCGGGTTGTTCGGGGTCGTGGACGCAGACCACCATCTAGTGATGCATGAATGTAATGCATCTGTAATAGAATGTTAACACAAATGTTTGACTTTTTTGCATCAGGTCTTATAAACTAACTCTAGCTGGTAAAACAATTGATTATGAGTAAGGTGTAAATGTACAATCAATCAATATGATGTGAATACAATTTTGTTTTGCACTTTCTTTCTGCTTTCTAATTTTATTTTTTATTACTGCGACATCATCACCTTTTTGCTGAATTGATATCGATTTGCATGTTTGATATCCTTGAATGGTGATTTTATTTTATGCGCATTCCTTCCAGCCTCCAGGACCAGGGTCCACTGAAATTCCGAATGCAGAATTTACTGTCATTCTCTTTACTTATAGTTGTGCTAAATTCTATCTACCTCAAGGAAAATAATAAAAGACATGCATCTTTTAGTAAGATACTATTTGTATCTTTAAAAAAGTGCAGTTTAAGGATTAATTTCATGAATTTCGTCTTAAGATCAGATTACATTTCAATTTTAAACGCTCTTTCAAAATTAGACCAGATTCTATATTAAAATAAAGCTCAATCAAGGTTGAGTAAAATGGCAACAAAATTTTAAAATAACCCAACATTTAAATTCTTTTAATAATAATAATAATAATAATAATAATAATAATAATAATAATAATATTTATTATTATTATTATTATTATTATTATTATTATTATTATTATTATTATTATTATTATTATTATTATTATTATTATTATTATTATTATTATTATTATTATTATTATTATTATTATTATTATTATTATTATTATTATTATTATTATTATTATTATTATTATTATTATTATTATTATTATTATTATTATTATTATTATTATTATTATTATTATTATTATTATTATTATTATTATTATTATTATTATTATTATTATTATTATTATTATTATTATTATTATTATTATTATTATTATTATTATTATTATTATTATTATTATTATTATTATTATTATTATTATTATTATTATTATTATTATTATTATTATTATTATTATTATTATTATTATTATTATTATTATTATTATTATTATTATTATTATTATTATTATTATTATTATTATTATTATTATTATTATTATTATTATTATTATTATTATTATTATTATTATTATTATTATTATTATTATTATTATTATTATTATTATTATTATTATTATTATTATTATTATTATTATTATTATTATTATTATTATTATTATTATTATTATTATTATTATTATTATTATTATTATTATTATTATTATTATTATTATTATTATTATTATTATTATTATTATTATTATTATTATTATTATTATTATTATTATTATTATTATTATTATTATTATTATTATTATTATTATTATTATTATTATTATTATTATTATTATTATTATTATTATTATTATTATTATTATTATTATTATTATTATTATTATTATTATTATTATTATTATTATTATTATTATTATTATTATTATTATTATTATTATTATTATTATTATTATTATTATTATTATTATTATTATTATTATTATTATTATTATTATTATTATTATTATTATTATTATTATTATTATTATTATTATTATTATTATTATTATTATTATTATTATTATTATTATTATTATTATTATTATTATTATTATTATTATTATTATTATTATTATTATTATTATTATTATTATTATTATTATTATTATTATTATTATTATTATTATTATTATTATTATTATTATTATTATTATTATTATTATTATTATTATTATTATTATTATTATTATTATTATTATTATTATTATTATTATTATTATTATTATTATTATTATTATTATTATTATTATTATTATTATTATTATTATTATTATTATTATTATTATTATTATTATTATTATTATTATTATTATTATTATTATTATTATTATTATTATTATTATTATTATTATTATTATTATTATTATTATTATTATTATTATTATTATTATTATTATTATTATTATTATTATTATTATTATTATTATTATTATTATTATTATTATTATTATTATTATTATTATTATTATTATTATTATTATTATTATTATTATTATTATTATTATTATTATTATTATTATTATTATTATTATTATTATTATTATTATTATTATTATTATTATTATTATTATTATTATTATTATTATTATTATTATTATTATTATTATTATTATTATTATTATTATTATTATTATTATTATTATTATTATTATTATTATTATTATTATTATTATTATTATTATTATTATTATTATTATTATTATTATTATTATTATTATTATTATTATTATTATTATTATTATTATTATTATTATTATTATTATTATTATTATACATCAAATGGATATAAAATATGTGCATTTTTTAATAATCTATTATTGAAGAGATTTATGTGAAATAACTAACTACATGGCTTTGACGATAATAAATATTCATATTATGAGTTTCAATTGAATAAAAACAGCTCAAAGATCTTTACCTAATAGAATTAGTTCTAATAGAATTAGTTCTGTTTGATAAAAATAGTGGTTGATTGATAAGTTAGCTGATAATTTATGACTGATGGTTAATAACTTATAATTTATAACTGATGGTTGATAAATGATAGATGATAAGTTAATTGAAGGGTTTGTTGAAATTAGAAGTTTAACTTACTGATAAATGTAAAATGACATTTTTAAATTATTTGATAAAATTTATATTTAAAATACTTTAAAATTCAGTAATTTAAATTTATTAAATCTTTCATATGTTATTATTATATTAATTTTTATATGCTATTTTTTTTAAATTGTTTCAATTTTATAATAAAAAATCAATGTTTCATATTAAGATGTACACGTAAAATAGTAAATTTATGAGATTAGAAAATTAACTCAATGTGAAATTGCAAACATACACTAATATAAAAAAGTATTATTAATTTAAAATGAAAGGTATATAAAATTAATACTTAAAGATACATAAAATTAAACATAATAATAAAATATATGTAAATGTTATATTAAACCTATAATAAAAATTAAGACAGTCTCAACTACAATTATATTAATTTAAAATAATAATTGAAATAAATCTATTGTCTAATATTTCAAATTAAAATAATAATATTATTACAAATTTCTTTCGTCTTGGTTGTTCTCCCTGCTCCCTCCTATGGCACGTCCCCACCTTGAGGACCAACAACACTATATGAAAGATCATCCTTAGGTACATAATTTAAATGTTGGTATAAGACACTAAATATTAGGTCATCACGTGACTTGATGCGAATATAGTTATGCAATGCAAATGCTGCTATTATAACATCAATTTGAGTTTTAACACTAAATTGCAGCATTTTATTAAATATCTTCTCTCTTTTCTTTAACACTCCAAATGACCTTTCTATACAACTTCTAAGAGATGAATGTGCATGGTTAAAAGATTCTTGAGAATTGATTGGGGGTTCATATTCAAATTACGACTGATGATATCTTATCTTAGGATAAGACACCAAATATCCTTCTTTATCAGGATATTCTTTGTCAACCAAATAGTATCTACTTGTAAAAAAAGAGTAAAAATGTATTTTTTTTTTTATAAAACAAAAATTCTCCAAAATAAAAAAAGAAAATAAACTTGTAGTAATACATATAATAAGACCTTTTGGTGGCTTTAGAAAGTTTAATGCCAGTGTGTTGATTGCATAAAGAAAAACATGTGTGTCATGTGCCGATCATTTTCTTCCAACTAATATAAATGTGAAACACGTACCAAAATCACAACTAGCCATGACATTAAAGGTGGGGATTCCCTTTCTACCTTTATAACGCATTTGTTCTGTCTCAAGAATACATGCAACTATATGGGTACTATTAATGCATCCAATACAACCATGTTAAAAAAATTAGATAAAGGTGTGTCATGAATAAGATCTCTCTCTCTCTCTCTCTCTCTCTCTCTCTCTCTCTCTCTCTCTCTCTCTCTCTCTCTCTCTCTCTCTCTCTCTCTCTCTCTCTCTCTCTCTCTCTCTCTCTCTCTCTCTCTCTCTCTCTCTCTCTCTCTCTCTCTCTCTCTCTCTCTCTCTCTCTCTCTCTCTCTCTCTCTCTCTCTCTCTCTCTCCACACACACACATATCTTAAAATAAGACATGTACCACTCATCATTAGCAATATGAGTTGGTACATATTGAAAAGTCGGATCCTTTGGTCTTATGATATCACGTACTAGGCCTTCGTAACCCCTATTTCTACCGCTAATTGCTTCTAAAATCTCATGAAATGCTCTATTAATGATCTCTCCAAAATATTGAAATCGTTCTCTAACATCCCTATTAGAAGCACTCATAGCAAGTGTATACACAAATATGTCCACCTTTTCTACAATTGTCATTCTTTTACTTAGTTGTAATTCATATTTTGATTGCAAATCTTCACACAATTGTGTAAATAAAGTTGGATCCATTCTAAAGAGATCCATACATCGAACAGCGTGTCCACTCAATATCTCACTCATCCAATCTTGTTCTCATTGAAGAGAAGTCATACATGATTTCTTATAAATATATTTATAGTAATATGTAGCAATTGCACTTATTGCACTTGATCTTATAATCCAATAAAGTGCATAATTTCTTCTCTTCTTTTCTCTTTCAACAATATCCACGATGTACCTACTAATTAATAAATATATTTAATTATTAATAACCATATTCAACACATCAATAAAATCAACATAAATTGCATATTTGTTTTAACTAGAAGCAAACAAATTTCAACATTAAAAAAAGTGAAACTAATTTTAAATCAAAATCAGAGACACAAGCCTTGCAAATAAATGTCAACATTCACAAAATTGAAACTAATTTTAAATCAAAATCAAAGGAACAAGCCTTAAAATTAAACATTCATAAAAGGTTCATTTCTCTTTGGAGTGCATATATGTTAACCATAACTTTCTAGACTCGTCATCTTCCATATTAAAAAAAAT